AGCGTCAAAGTCTGATGCCACCAAAAACTACACTTCAAGATAATGTCGAACGTTTTACACCAACCGGCGCTGAATTCATTGATGGCACCCACGAAACATTCTCTTTGGTGATTTTTGCAACAGGTAAGAAGATTTTTTTCATGGCGAAAAATGCGTCTATATTGAATAAGTCACTAATACTTGTATATAAAATATTTTCAGGCTACAATTTCACGTATCCATTTTTGAGCGTTGACACTGGCATCACCGTGGAGGAAAATACTGTTTTGCCACTGTACAAGCAAGTCTTTAACATTGAACATCCCACGATGATTTTCATCGGTGTACCATTCACCACTTGCACCACTCGACTCTATGACTTGCAGGTAAATACAAATCATGCTGAGTTGATTCATTTTCATTTAAATCTTATGCAAATAACTAATGACGACTTTTAAATCAGGTGCGATTCGCAATGAAATTCCTTACGGGTGAAAAACAACTGCCATCGAAGTCGGACATGTTGACCGATATGCAAATTCAATTGCAAAATCACTGGGGTAAAGGCTATGGCAAGCGCTACACTCACTATCTGGGCGTTGAGCAGAATGAATATTTCAAGCAACTAGCTGAAACAGCTGACGTTGAACCGATTCCAGAAGTTTTGCCCGATATGCATTTCGATTCGCGCGAATCTATGAAAAAGGGCCCATCAGAGTTCCGTAAATTCAAATACATTATCATCGATGACAAAACGTTCACCAAGGAACGGGAAGAAGATTAATTTACGAACAACGCAAGGCTGACGAGAGAAAAAAAATCCATGACCCTGGCGATATTAATTCACCTTTTTAGAGGCACTTATCAATTAATAGTAGCAAAAAGTGTTTGTTTTGAATATATTTACTATCAAAATTTTTTACTTACATTCTGTGTATTATTTTTCAAGAAAAATTCAACGCTATCGAAATGTTGATATGTCTATGAAGAAGAGGGAATAATTGAAATGACTACATATACATCAACAATAGATGTTATCTTCGTATTAATTTAATCAATATAACGTAATGAATATACCGGCGTGTGCACCAAATACCACTGTTGAATATTTTTCAAATTCGAACCACATTTTTTGTTGGCCCCTTTAAAGTTGTAAACTTTCAATTTGCATTTACATCTATTTTCGCCAATTGAACGTTTGGAATAATTACCGAGAAATTGTTTGATTTCGAAAAGTTCTTCCTTTGGAATAAACTTTCCTATAAATGTTTATTAACAAAATATGTGCATCTCTTGCCGTTTAGAATTCTGATTAAAGAAAAAAATGCTGAAATTTTACAAAATGTGAAAATACATAAACTTCTACTTCGATGATCGTCAACATTTGAAGGTAAGCTACTTATCAGTTTCGTGAAAAACACAAAAAACTGTATAAAAAATTTACATTTTACATTTTTCATGTTACGAATAATGTTTTATTATTGAAGCGACGATTCATTTTTAAGATAAAGATTTTATGTTGCGCTTCAGTTCAAACACTTTTATTCCCATTTTTATTATCAACAACACATATTTATTCAATGCGCAAGATGTTAACCGGAGCAAAACGCGAAAATATGGCAAAGCCAAAAAGTTGAATAAGAAACAAAGTCATGTTAATTTGGCTCAGATTTTTGTCGGCCCATCCAGTGAAATAGCGTAAGTTTTTAATGAAGAAGGGGACATCAACGTAGTCTGAGGTAGAAAATGTTTGATTTATTTTGGCCTCTGTATTCGAAATTTTCTTTTGGTTTACTATTTTGTTTAGTGCTGTGAGCACGGAATTTATTATTCGGTTAAACAAGTTCACCAAAATTGTTGCCAAATGATTGAAAGCTCAACGTCACCTTAAATTAAGGTCCTTAATTGGTTCATACTTGAAATTGATAGATAAAAAGTTGTGCCTGATGTCAATTATTCGTAGGATCCGTAACAAGGAGGGGCCTCGAACAATTGACATTTGACATAAAACGAACAAAAAATATAAATATAAATCATATGTTCATTGTTCATACTTTCGAATTGTCATTTTCTCTGTCATAAAGGGTGATCTCTTTTCAATGGTGACTCTTTTTTTCATTTGCTAATTGATGTGTGTGTCGTAGAGTAGGCATTTTATTTTCTTCATCAAAATTTGATACGGCATCCGTTTTGTAATTTTATGTTGTGCATTTCATTTAGTTTATGAGGTAAAAAGCTCAATAAGATTGCGCCGTAATTGTTTCCATGTGCAGAGAAATAAACAGCAAAAAAAGCATGTGATTTTTAGATCATCATTGAATCCATTCACCTGCACAATCGCGTTGCACAAAATTTCGATTTCGCAGAGTAATAGCATTGAACCGAATGTATGTACAACAAGTTTGATGTGTGTACAAGGGTGTTTTCGGCATCGTTTAATCAAAAAATGGTATGCCTTATTCAATAGATCTCAGAATTCTGAGTCAATTGATAATATTTTTGTCGCGGATGGACTTGTGATGACACTTCCCGAAGCTGAAAACAAAAACAGTTTTATTCTGAATTTCCATAGTAACCTGCGATAACCAGATTTGATTTGATATTTGAAAGCAAAAATTTGACAAGAAAACATAAAATTGAATCTAGTTGTCACACGTTACTATAGAAATTCAGAATAAAACATTTTTCGTTTTAAGTTTCGGGAAGTGTCACCACAAGTCCATCCGCGACAAAAATGTTATCAATCGACTCAGAATTCTGAGATCTATCGAATGAGACTTACCATTTTTCAATTGAACGATGTCGAGAACACCCTAGTGTACATACGTCGTTATAGTTCGAGCGCTTCCCCTTAATATTTGTTATGCACTGTATTTTTGACTGTAATCATGACTCTCATAAATTAATCAATTTTAGGTTGAGTATTATAACAAGCAGCAATCGATATCATATTTTATGACATAATCTCATTGTGCATTCGGACATAGTCATTACGTCTCAGCCGTTTTAAAAGATTACACCACCAAACTGTGTGCTAATTTGAATATGTTACATATAGATAACGGAAACGGAAAGTTGTATAAATTAGTATTGATTCGAAAGGGCAAAATCAGTTGAGTACGGTCAATAGATTTCATAGCGTATGAAGTGTTGAAACTATTTGTTTCATATATTGTGTTTTACCGAAAGTGCTTTGAAAATGACGAAATTGCCAATTTCTCATGTAAATACAGCAGCGATAAAAGCAGAACCGGCGCCGGTTTTAAATGTGGCTGTTATTGGAGCTGGAACATCGGGGTTAGTGAGTGCAAAATATGCACTGGCTCAAGGTTACAATGTGACAGTTTACGAACAGGCTGAACAATTCGGCGGGATTTGGTGGTACACAGACAAAACCGGCAAAGATCAATATGGTCAAAATGTCCATTCGGCGATGTATCAAGGGCTTAGGTAAATTTTACAAACTCGGATTCTATTTTAAATGATATTTACATAATTTTTGTATTCATTTAGAACGAATTTGCCACACCAAGTAATGGAATTCAACGATCATCCCTATCCCAACGGAACCAAATCGTATCCATCACAAGCCGATGTCCTGAAATACCTTCACTCATACGCGGATCGTTTTGAAATCAAGAAACACATCAAGCTCAGCCACTTGGTTATCCGCGTTCTTCCAATCGAAAATGACAAATGGGAAGTGATCGTGAAGGATTTGCCAAACGACAAATTCCAGACACTGATCTATGATGTCGTTTTTGTTGCCAACGGTCACTTTGCTTCGCCACGTTATCCAAGCATACCCGGCCTTGATGAATTCAAAGGGCAAACACTGCACAGCCATGATTATCGAAGCGTCGAAGCATTCCATGGTGGGATGCGGTTAAATTTAAGCATTCGCTTTTTCTTCATTAGTTTTTTTCACATTTCTAATTCCATTCCCGTTTTTTAATCTGAACAGATGAAAATGTTCTTGTCATCGGA